TTGATTGATTGATTGATTAATTAATTAATTACTTTTGAATAAGTAATAAATATTATTAAAACTCATAAGAAGAGATTAATTAATTTTCAATGGTCTTCTTTATAAGAAAACTTAGAATCTAAAAATAGTTATTTTATATAACATAATAAGTTTAAAAGCTAAGATATCTTGTAATAGATTACTGAAATATCTCTAAGTAAATAAGAAGCAGTAGCTTTACAAAAAAGCTCGAAGAAACCAAAAATTGATCAACTGAATCATTAATGAGTATTAAATGCATTTATTAATTTTAAATCTAACTTTTAAACAATTATTCATTAAAAAGTAAAAAGGCGTTCTTAAAATTGCATAGCTAATATTCAATCATACTAAATACTTCATAAAGTTTTTGAATTTAGAAGAATAGTTTTAAAAATAGCTGATAGACTACTAAGTCAGATTAAATCTTATTCAGAATTTATATTCTTGATCAGATAAATGCATAATCAATAAAATAGTCCTAATAAATGACCTTAATTAGCAATTAGATTTAGCAAAGAATTATTAGCCTATCTATCTAAAAGTGATAAGAACATTCTTGAAATCTAGTTTTTTATTTTAAAATATCAGAATATTATTAACGCCGATAAAATTAGAAGATAAAGTATGCTTTTATAAAGGACTTATTTAAAGCATATAGACAATGTCTATTAATTATAAAAAAGTCAAGAGAAATCCACTAAAAAATGTATCAAATAATCTCTATATTTGCTTCTGAATGTAATTTTGAATAACTCTACTTAGCATTAAAGAGATTAAACATGGCACTCAACATATTTTACTTGGAATAATTAAGATCAGAGATCAAGTAGAATTTAGAAGAATAAAACAGAACAGTTTCTTTATAAAATGTAAAGTAAAATCGATTTAAAAAAGGAATATTTTATATCAAAATGTTAGAATGATTAAAAGCAATTACTAATATTTATTAATTTGAATATTAATTATTTCTTAACTTTATTTACATATGTGTTTTTATGTATGTCTAATACATTTTTATTTGCTGTTGTAGTTGTATTTATCTTTCTATTCTTAAAAATAATTAATTAAATATTTCGTTCATCCATCCATCCAACTGTCTGTATATCTATCTATCTATTATATAATACAGTGAATTAATTTACATTCATAAATATTAAATTTGTTTTAATATTAATTATACATTATATATTCATGATTTTCTTAATATAAGATTTGCTTATAAATAATTAATTAAATATTTTCTTCATCTGTCTGTCTGTCTATCTCTCTATTATATATGCAATTAATTAATTATAGAGTCATAAATATTAAATTCGTTTTGATATTAATTATTCATTATATATATATTCACGATTCTCTTAATATAAGATTTGCTTATAAATAATTAATTAAATATCTTCTCCCTAAAGTACTTTTATTAAGAAATAGCATAATTAGCAAGAAAAATGAATTAGATCTAAAGTATCCAAGATCTTAAACTCAAATAAGAGGAATTCTTCATCCTATCTAACAAAAACTACAGAAGCTGCCCTAGACACCCTGATAACTGGATTGTTTCGTTAAGCACTAATCCTAATTCTAGCCAATTCATTCAATGCGCTGAGTGTTTTTCTGAGAATCCCAATTAATATTCTTTGAATTTAGTTGGACTTATTAAGGAAAATGATAAAACTGTTTTTAAGAACTACCCAGTTTATGGCGATAATGAGCTTTACGAGAAACTTAAGCAAATCTTTGAGGCTGATTGCTCTGTTGATGGATTGTTATCTAAAATTTCATCTTTTTTCTTAAACTTAAGAAAATAAATCGACCAAAAAATAATACTTAAAGAAGAACAGATGATGAGCTAAGCAAAGTCATTATGGAGCTTTAATGAACAGGTAATTATTTAATATAACAAATTAGCCGAAAAGGAATAGCTTAAGAATATCATCACCAATTTCAAAGATGACCTTGACAAGTAAAATGAGCTTTTTAAAGAATTATTCACTCGAATTTCTACTAACTAGAAAAAATATTAAGAAGA